CCTGAGGCTGCTTCAGGGAGAGCTTCCTAGTGCTTGATGGATGTATAATATGTCTTTAGGAAATATTATATTATAAAGAATATAAGCAATAGAACAGTATGAGATACTTTCTACCGAATACCTAAGGCCTAGCAGATCCCTCGATAAGTAGTCCTGGCAGCAGTATTTCAGTAAGAACTCCCCTGATTATCATGAATTTTTATGTAGAACTCCAGTATAATGCAAATTGCTGATAGATGCTTGAAAGTAGGTGTGCATCGTTGCCCACTTGATGTTACTATTACCCTCAATAAAAACTCTAAAGCTTCCCTGGAGCTTGGCTATATTTTTCAAGCCGTAATTCGCCTACTCCTGATGCTGCCACTAAAACCTCCCTCCTCCCACTCGTTGCCGCGTAATACCCTGATTTTGTTTATTGCGTTTAATTTGCGCATTGTTTGTGTGGCTTCTGGGGATAATTGCAGGCATCAATTGCAATGGCAGCGGTAGAGGCAAGGTATGGTGGCACCCACTCACCAAAGTGAGGAGAAGTGGCAATCAAATTGCCAGTGGACAGTGGCAATCAGATTGCCACAGACGGACAGAGAGGACTCCTGCCTGGCACCCACACGAACCACTGGAAAAATTTTGCAAAAACCACAAACTGTTCCGTTTGGCTTTCATTAAGTTTTCAGAGGCTTTTTCATGACGGTTTTTTGGTTTATTTTCTGTTGTTTTGTTTTGTTTTTGGCAACTCTATAATCAACGTCCATTTCGAAGTAGCCGCCCGCTGAACCCCCAGTATTTGCTTTGGCCATTTGTTTGCTGTTTGTTTTTCATTGTTGCCGTGTTGTGTTTGCATTTCACGCCTGCCTACAGAGAGGGAAATAATGTGCACATATTTACAAAGAAATTAATAAATACTTTTTAGCCCTTGCACAATTGGATGCAGTCGCGCTGAATGCAAAACCGAAACGGAAACCGATCATAACAAAGCAAAACAATTTTTGAGACACTTCAAAGCTTAAAAAACTCATAACAACGCTAAAAATGCATTCATTTTAATTCGGAAAGCAGCCCTATGTTAGTTTTAAGTAGGCTAATAAATCAGCATACTCAAATTAAAACGTAAAAAAATTAACAAATTTGACAATTTTAGCCCCTAATAAAATTTTGAAAAAATTTTCAAAAATTTATGTTTTTTTTTAATGCATAGAAAGATTCCCCTGTTGATGCTGATCAAGAATATATATAATTTATGGGGTCAGAAATGACTTCTTCACTGCGTTTCCTGCTTTAGACTGAAATTATAATACCCAGCAAGGGTTTAAAAATCGTTGAAAAGATTGAAAGGATTTATTCTTGCCACAGATTTGAGTATTCTTTTTAATTTCTGTTTTAGTTTTAGTTAGTTTAATTTTTAGTTTTAGGCTGTTCTTTTATTCAACTGGTCAGCTAGCGAGCATACATGGCGTATACTTAATGTGAAAACCCTTAAATTAAGCATACGCAGTGTATATCTGGAAAAGTTAAAAAAAAAATGTATTCACCCAAATATAGCTAAATCGACTCTGCTGTTAATACATATATGCTTTATAGGGTCGGAAATGATTCCTTGACAGTAATTAATTGTAAATTACCCTTCAATGGTGTAGCAAAGAAACTTGTACATTTATTTCCAGTGTAAATTTGTGTGTGATTAATCCACAAACATAGAACCAATCAAACAGCAACCGTGGCTCAACACAAAAAAAAACAAAAAAAGGCAGAAAGTAAGAAATGATTCCCCACTGTTATTGATGATGTGTTGATTAGGTTCTGACAAACCAATCGCGGTCATGTGAACAACAATCAAAGTACAAAATTTCACTTTGAACTCAAGCCGCAATGTGTGTGCGAGTGTTGTGTGTGGAAGCCCCCTGCTGTGCTAGGGGGGCGGCACCCCGAAATGCAACACCCATAAGAGTGTGTGTATGAGTGTGTGTATGGTATGTGCGGTCATAGGCGAAATTTGGGTCACGTTAGCTCGCTCACATTGCCAAACTAAACATACAGAAAACCAAAAAAAAGAGATATAAAAGAAAACCCTATAACCAAAATCATGCAAAGCAGCGTGTGTCTAATGAATTGCCACCCAAATGCGGCTGTCCATGGGTGTGTGTGTGTGTGTGTGTGTGTTGCAGTTGGTCCATGGAAAAGAGCGGAAAAGAGTTGGCCAAGATTTGTGGTTGGTCAAGAATAACGACGTCTGTCTGTCAATTGTTCGATATTTATGGAACATAAATCCAACCTGAAAGGGTCATTCACTAATTGGGATTTTTTCGTTTACGTTGGCAAAGTTAGGGGGAGATTTTAATGTTTAATGGTTTTTCCGCTGGAAATGAGTCAGTTGGTGTTGTATTTCAAGGAAAATGTCCATTTTACTTCACTTTTTCACAGGGAAAAGCTTTTAAAACTTCTGTCAGGGTGGCATTAATTTATGTTGGCTTAAATCCAAGTTTATAATTATTTTGAATAGTAGAAAATCGAAGTAAGGTCTTAATAACACATTTTCTTGGCCATTTTTCTTATCTCCCTTAATTACGATGTATTACCCATAATTGAAACCCAATGAATGCCTAATAATACCCCATTTTCTGTCCATGCTTAATAGTTCGCAACCTTCTACACATCAGTGGGTCCCATCAGTGACCTTTCTGGTTCTTCCTCTGAATTCGCTCACATAATTATTTTCCTCGTAATACACACAAATCAAATGCAATTAAATGCGAAATTCGAATTTAAAGTGAACTTCCGTAATAGGAGGAGGGCAAGATCTTTGCATTTATAATTTCATGGCAGAATTCCTCGATAAATTGATACATAACATACACACATATCGCACATATGTATTCAGTTCAGTTCAGTTAACCCCATGGCCACTCCACTCCAGTCCCTGGCCACGCCCCATTTTGGCCCACCAAAAGCCGGCTAATGGCCTGGCCAATTGTCGCAAATTAGTGGAGGCCAGCCCAGCACGCACACCAAGACCAAGAGACCAACTCAAAGACCAAGACCAAGACGATGATGAACAGCAGGTGAAGTGTAGTGTAGAGTAGAGACAAGGCAAACACCTAAGGCCAATATCCACATGAGCTCAGAACCCACCAGCAGGCTAACGGTACAGCGGTACTCTGTTGGCCAAGAAGACGGAGGAGATGGCCAAGAGGAGCGAAAGAACAGCTATATAGAAGTTTACTGCTACAATTGGCAAATTGAAAATTGCTCGCTGGTGGCAGCATTGCGGCGGCGTTGGAGTCTGCGTTTTGACCGAGCCAAGGCGGAAGCTTCTTTTGGCCAGACCTCAGACCTCGGACCTCAGACCCCAGACCCCAGACCTGGGCCCCCGGAGCCGGCAATGCGTCCGTCTGGCAGAGATAAGCTGACATCCACAACGTGCCACAGACGATGATGCATTTGCCAAGGTACTCGCAGCCCAAAGCCGCCGTTGCACCAGACAGAGACGTTTCAATTTCAAACGAGTATGGTTAAGCCGACTCAAGAAGCGGCTAACACCCTACCGGGAATAAGGAGGCTATTAAATACCCTCGAAGGTTATGGAAAATATAAAAGAAAGTATGCACAAGTACTTCCATCTACTTACAACATTTTAAAATAAATTCTCGATATCTTTTTTATCATCCCATAATGCTTGACTAATTACTATAATTTCAGTCAGAAGTCTAAAAGAAAGTGAAGGAGTCGTTTCCGACCCCATAAATCCTATATATTCTTGATCAGCATCAACAGGCGAATCTTTCTAGGCATTAAAAAGAGAACATCAATTTTTGAAAATTTATAAGAAGAGACATTTTATATGTGTTCTTGGTGATAATTGGTGAATGAGTCATTTCCGAACCTATAAACCATACATATTCTTGATCAGCATTAAACGCTGAATCGATCTAGCCATCTTTAAGAGAAAACTAAAATTTTAAATTTTTTTTAAATTTTATAACATCGTTAAAATGCTCAAAAATTGGCAACAAATTTTGAATTTTTTACATTTTAAACTGAGTATGCAGATTTATGACCCTAATAAAAACTTACTTAGGACAGCTTTCCGAACTGAAATTAATGCATTTTTGGCCTAGTAATGATATATTTTGTATTCTATCTCAAGATCCAAATGCAATATAGCTTTCCTTCATTTTTCTCAGGTTTTCCTTCCATTACATCATACCCTACCCTTGGATTTCCCATAACTCGAAGGTATTCTCTTGAAAAGAAAAATAGCAACAAAACCGTCTGAACTGGCAGGCAGGCAGACATTTTAATGAAGCCGCCGTCAGGCAGCATTTGAGCCACTCGTGGCTGTGGTTCTGGCTGTATCTGTAGTCTGGCTAGTAACGGGCCAAGTCCACGGGTTTAAAGTCTATATGTCTATAAGTCTACGCACTGGCACCGTCGGCCACTGAAACGAATGACTTAAGCGACGAACTTGATGAGCTTGGCCAATGCGTAAGACACGGCTCTAAGATTACCTAAGCTTCTAATAGATCTCGCACTCTCGGATTTAGAGAGCGCATAAAGGGAATCACTTTGAGAACACCCTCGAATATTAGTGATAAATGTCACTTTCAAACTTTCGCTACCTGTCTTTCAAACTTGACCCAATTCTTTATATATATTTTCATAGTTTTCGAGGGGGAAACACCTACGCGGCTACCAAATTCTGCTCTATAATTAAAAGCCAGCGAAACGAAACGAAATGTTAACTTCAAACTCTGAAGTTCAGAGTCCACTTGATATGGGAATTTACGCACTTGATTGGCACTGGAAAGAGGCCGAGTTTAGGCGTTAATTGCGGGTTCTGGCAAATTACAGACTTTGGTGAAATGCACTTTCTCTTCGAGCCGAAAAGTGAGTGAGTTTCAGCCCAGATTGGGATTGGGATTTGGATAATGTGAATTTGGTTTCTGTATATGAGAAGGGGACTTGAGACTTGAGTTGAATAAGCGTGGGCGCTGCCAGCTGCTTACCTTTTGTTTAGTCTTCTAATTGCTCCCGAAGATCACCGATCACATTACTGCAAAAAATAAGAAACACATGAGTCGGCAAAAGAGAAATGCAAATTAGTTTATGAAAATAAAGAAAATATCTGTATGTATATATAGAAAAATAAACTCAATGAGACAATGAACTCTAGACCTCTTCAAGTGAAGCCTCTCTCTCTCCATATATCTCTCTTCGGGCTACAAATTGACATTGTTTCTGTATTGATTTTGGACATGTGTTTCTTGCCTTTGTTAACCCATTTTGGCAGTTTTGTGTAAGTGACTTCGTTTTCGATTTGATTTGATTTATTGCCTGCAATTGTCGCAGATCTGTCTGTCCCCCCTCTGGAAAGTGAAAACTTTCGAAACTTTCAGTTTGGTGACTTAATTTCTTGGCCAGACTCTGGGCCAGAGCCACAGCTGCGGGGCTAATGAAATCGAACTGCCGCTTAACAATGGCAATAGCACTCTTATTGTCACTCTGCCAAAGCCGAATAAAGCTTTGCCCAAGCAATTATCAAGTGCACTTTTACTTTCATTGTCGTGGAAGTGCTAACAACTGAACAAATTTTCACTCCGAGTGAGTGAGTAATGCTTATTTTCCTTTTAGCAATGGCTAATGAGCCGAAATGCCATTCAAAGGGTCTCACAGACCGAAATTACCAAACAATTTCAATGTCTTCGATTCCCAATTTGTATGGGAAAATATTTCACGGGAGAAAATGAAACGGACTGAAACTCTCACACTGCACAGTTTATGTAAGAAAATTTATCACCCTGAAAGAAAAGAGTAAAACAAAACAAATGCTTTGTCTTCAGGTGCTAAATGAAATAAACCTTAAACTCTGTTTTAAAATGTAAAGAAAAAAGTTGAATTAAATATTCTAAAGGTAAGCCGAATGCCTTAATTTATTCCCAAACAAATCTGTTCATAAAACTAAATGATCGTAAAATCAAGCATAAATATTTATGCCATGTCAACGAAACTCTTTTGTAAAATATATATTTCTCTTTATTTTCTGTATGTTTGTTGTGCCAACAAACCGTTCAAATGGCTTTTGTTAAGCCAGAGAAATGCTTTGCATATTTACGACCTTATGTGGAGAGAACGACTACTATTATTACCAATTTGTTGGGGAACCTTTTTTAAGAACCATAATTCATGTTGCAACGTTTTGTACCCTCGGCTAATTGAAGTGAGAACTTTGGCATAAAACCCACTCATGTGTGGAATATTACTTGTAATGAAACAGTTCTCTTCTCATTTTTTGTTGTGAGAATTCCCAGCACTTATAGCATATATGGGTAGGTTCGAGTGTTCCCAGGGCACTGCATTGCCACTAAGTTTTGTTGGCCAGTTTTTTGGTTCACTGTACCGTGGCAATGGGGGGCGTGGCCCCACTTAATGGCAGCCGCAACTGCAACGAGTTTGCATGCGGAGCATGAAATTATCTGCAGTTGATCTCCAAGTTGGGGGCAGCTCTGGACCTGGACATGTTGGCTACTCGAATTAAGTTAACAAAAATAATGGCTAAAGAGTAAAGCAAACAAGAGCCAACAATGGGAGAGGCAAACAAACGTATCAATTAGCAAAAGTCAAATGCCCGAACCCCAAGCGTAAGACAAACATGTCCAAGAAATTAGATATTTGGCTAGAAACAATAATGAGCAGATAATACAAGTTAATTACTTGTGACGACTGCTGAGTGTGGGTTTACTTTCCAAACAAAAAACAATTTCAATTGGTTCAAACAAGTAATTGCAGGAAAGATCGATGTATCTATATTCGATATTCTGTTGGATATTCTTAGTTATCATCTTAAGGTGACTCTATTTAGCCATGACTTGTACATGTTTCAGAGGTTCAACGGCTTAGTTAAATTGTAATTATCACAGTCGGCCGAGACTCACTCCATTCAAAAGAAAATCATAAAAACAATACATCAAATTCCGTCTCATACTTTCTACCATTCACACACATTTATTTTGATAATTTATACCATCTTGCCTGCAATTTATACGCAAAACTCCTTCAGCGATGGGCAAGAAGTTGAAATTTCCGAGGGGCAGAGCAAAGTGAAGTCCTTTTTCCGCAGCGAGGACATGGAGCTGTGCCAGCTGCTCTTGCACGTGGACAATGCCTTCGACTGTGTGATGGAGCTGGGTCACCACGGCATGATACAGTTCAACAACATCTACGACGAAGACCGGCTGCTGAACAATCTCTACACGAAGAAGGTGACCCAGTGCTATGAGTACCTGCGTCTGGTGGACAGCCTGCAGCAGCAGATCATCCAGCTAAATGTCAACGAAATCTTCTATCCGAATGTGGACCAAGAGGACCGGATGCGGGAGAGGGATCTGCGCGGCTACGGGGACAGCCTGCGGCGCCTGCACCTGGAGGCCACCACCGTGATGGAGCACTACCATCGGCTGGAGACCCGACGCTACCGGATGATGGAGCAGTGCTTTGCCATCACCAAGGCCAACAAGTTCATGACCGCGGACAGGGGCAGCGAGCTGCTCTACTCGGAGAGCACCATCGGGGGCCTGGTGCAGGACGTCTCTCTGCCGGCCAGCCAAGTGCAATATGGTGCCCAGCTCAGCTACTTGCTGGGAACGATACGGGCGGAGAAGTTCTGTAGCTTCGAGCTGATCCTTTACCGGATTTGCTCCTACAACCTGATCATCAGGTTCGCCGAGATGCCCAAACCCATCGTAGTGTATACGGGAAGGCAGCCGGAGACGGTGCGCATGTTCGCCGTTCTCATGATCACCAGCTCCTCGACGATTTGGCCCAAGGTCCATAAGATCTGCGCCCACTACCAAGTTCACATCCACGATTGCCCATCATCCGCCAATCGGCGAGAGGAGCGGACCAAGGAGCTGGCCCAGGAGATCAAGAACATCGAGAGGGTGCTCAAGGAAGCCGAGATGATGCGTCGCCAGATCCTCGAGGTTGCAGCCCGGGATCTGTTCATTATCCGCGTCAATCTGCGCAAGGCCCTGCGAGTCTATGACCTGATGAACCGCCTCCGATTGGTGGGTGGAGTGCACGAGGCCAAGTATCTGCTGGCCGAGGTCTATCTGCCAGTCTCGGAATTGGCCAATGCGAGGGACACCCTCATAAATGCCAACCGATTGAGTGGAGGAGCAGACCGCACGGCTGATAAGAAACCAGGCACCGAGAGTGTACATTCCGTGGATTCCGATACAACCGAAAGGAAGGTCTATGATCCCATGGAAAATGCCAAGTATGCCACTCGCCCCATGCTGCTGAAGAAGACGCGCATGGTGAACCACATACCGCCCACGTTCTTTCGCCTCAACAAGTTTACCAAAGGGTTTCAGGCCCTGATCGATGCCTACGGCATGGCGGACTACAAGGAGCTGAATCCTGCCCCATACACCATCATCACGTTCCCCTTTCTGTTCGCCGTCATGTTCGGGGACATGGGTCACGGCATCCTGCTGGCTCTCTTTGCCGTTCTGATGATCTGGAGGGCCAAGCAGATCGAAAGAGAGCAGGTTGGTTTCTCCTTTGGTAATCGATTATTAATTACTTTACATATTAAAATATATAATATTCGATAAACCTCAATAAACCCCTGATCTCTCTGCCAGATAAGTTCCATTTCGGAGAACGAAATAATGAATATTCTGTTTGCCGGACGCTACATCATCCTGCTAATGGGAGTCTTCTCCATCTACATGGGTTTCATCTACAACGTTGTGCTGTCCAAGAGCATGAACCTGTTCGGGTCCAGCTGGAGCTGTCGCTACAATGCCAGCACCGTGAGTGACAACTTGGTGGAGCTGACCTTTGATTCGTCGAGCAAGAACTTTTATTCGGGCAACCCGTATCCCATTGGCATGGATCCCGTGTGGGTGGTGTGTGGCCAGGTCTCGATCACCACCACCAATTCGCTGAAGATGAAGATGGCCATAATTCTGGGCGTTAGCCAGATGCTGTTCGGCCTGGGCCTGTCCGCCGCCAATTGCATCCTGCTCAAGAAGAAGGCGGACCTGCTGCTGGTGGTGGTGCCCCAGATGGTGTTCCTGGTGTGCCTGTTCTGCTACCTGTGTTTCCTCATCTTCTTCAAGTGGCTGACCTACGGCGGATTGAAGCCGCATCCGCATACCTCATCCTGTGCGCCCTCCGTCCTGATCACGTTCATTAACATGATGCTGATGAAGAAGGATGTGCGGAACGAAAACTGTCCCCTTGGCATGTTTCCCGGCGAGCGACAGCTGGAGTATGTCCTCATCATACTGGCCGTGCTCGCCATCCCTGTCCTCCTGGCGGGAAAGCCGCTGTATGTCATGCGCAAGAGGAAGAAGGAGAAGGTTGAGGAGGAAAGGAGACAGGTCGAAGCACGGGCCGCCAGGAGTCGCCGGCAGACGATCAAGGAGATGCGGTCCGAGGTCAGGTACGACTACGATGAAACCGCCAGCTCCGAGATCCTCAAGACTCGGGTCTATGAAATGGAGAACGAGCACGACATGTCGGAGATCTGGATCCATTCGGGCATCCACACCATCGAAACGGTTCTGGGTTCCATCTCGCACACGGCATCCTATTTGCGGCTCTGGGCCCTATCCCTGGCCCACGATCAGCTCTCCGAGGTCCTGTGGCACATGATCCTGTCGAAGGGATTGAACAACGATATGCCCCTTTACTACGGTGTGCCCATGCTCATGGCCGCCTTCATCGCCTGGGCCACACTCACGGTGGCCATCCTGCTGATGATGGAGGGACTGAGCGCCTTCCTGCACACCCTGCGACTCCACTGGGTGGAGTTCCAGTCCAAATTCTTTAACGGCGCCGGCGAGGTCTTTAGACCCTTTAGCTTTCCGCCCTCCAATCACAGGAGTTAAACTTATGTATGTTTATAAATTTCACAGTTCCTCGTTTCTTTTTAGAAAATTCTTAAATGAATTTAAAATTATGACCGTGTGTGTGTGATTTCTTAAAGTTCAAGCTCCTTTTCCGGGTTAGAGAAATTCAGTATATATTTTAGATGAAACTTTGCTGCTGGCTCTCCCCTATCTTTTGGCAATTAACTTTGGCCAAGAGCTACCCACGCCCGCTGTTGCTGCTGCTTGGACATTCCTTTGCAATTAGCATTGGGGCCCTGGCTCCATGCAAAAGGCCATAAACCAAAGCTGGCTTTAAACAATTTCCATTTGTTTGCTTTATGCCATTGCCAGCTGTTGTTGGTGCTGTTGCTGCTGTTGCAGTTGCTGCTGTTGCAGTTGCTGCTGCGACTGTTCCTGCCTCTGATGCGGGCGCTGGAAGTCGTCGACCCTTTGGTTACTTTTAGCTCTTTGTTGGATTGCTCTTGGGCCAGTATCGCTGCTGCTTTTGCTGCTGCTGCTGTTCTATTCTTGTTCGGCTTTTAATACCCAGTATTTTCTTAGAAGAAGGGTATGCTGTAAGCTCTAGCAGCTAAGAAATTAAAGAAGGTGCCTTAAACCATTGAGTTCTTTACAAAGAATAATAGTTTAAGGCATTCTTTTAGATAAACAACTTAATTTTATTAACAACTTCATATGTCATGGGTATCTTTAGGTATTTCTTGGTCGAAATAAACCCTTTTTCTTGCCAGTTTTCCACACACACACACACACACACACAGCTGTGACCGTGTTGTTGCCGCTCTGTTTGCCATTAACACCCACGCCAGCAAGTTTGGTTGCTGTTTCTGGTGGCTGGTTGCTGGTTGCTGATTGCCTACAGAGGCCCAGAGCCACAGAGCCAGGCCAAGACAGACCTGGACTTGGCATAAATTATGAACAGCAACCGATGACGCATGCAGGCCGGCCTAAGTAGACTGCCTCGTGCATAAATAACTTTCGTTAGCCACATGGAACGCGACTTTATTAGATTGCCAGAGAGCGAAATACAAAGGCTGGCTTGCTGGAAAGAACCCAGCGCAATGCCAGTTGGCAGTAATGTGCAGTAAGTTTCATGACCAGAGCAGGTTTTCTACGCAATTGCCGCTGCTGCTGGCCCAAAACAGGCTTTGCTCTTTGGCTTTGGCTTTGGCTTTGGCTATAACTTTAAACCGCAGCACGCGCCATTGTTTAGGTGGTGCAACGAGCAGCGAGCAGCACGCCAACTTGGGTCAAGTTTGTTGCCTAAGTCTTTTGTTTATACTTTCCTTTGCTGTGACTCTGTGCGTGGCTCTAATGCTGGGCTTAAGGGCCAATCCCGAACCCAATCGCCGTCCCAATGGCCAACTGCTTAGCACTTTTATGGCCAACAATTGTCAAGTCTCTAAGGAACCAAAGCCAAAGCGGATAGCATCCATTGCGGCTTAGAACTAAAGCAGAGAGAGAAATCTTAGCCCAGTAAAGAAATAAATTTGAAAGATTTTACTCTTAAGAAGAGTAAATATAGTATTTTGACAAACCAAGGGGTGTTTAGATATAAAATATATAAAGAACATTGGAGTAACTTTGCACTGAAACATTAAATTTATATTTTAATGTTCAAATAAATAATGCCATTTAAAGGTAAGAAGCAGGTAGATTTGTCATGAAATCTCAAGTTTTTAATTTCAAATAAATTACAACATAAACTTCTACCTCAAATTAGAGACAATTTTCTTGACCAGCTTTTCTCTCCGTGCACCTCAAACAAAAAGCAAGGTCGCATTGTTGTCTGGGGAGAATCAATTTGAGCCTTAAATGCGAATGTCTGTCCCCATGTCCGCTTTTTTCTGCTCGTCAGTCGCATCACGTCACGTCACGATCCTCGAGCCGCGGACTCATGCTCTTCGTTCGTCAGTTTTTTAAGTTTTTTGAGTGCATTGCCGCTGTCCTTTAAAGGGCTCGTTCTCAGTCCGTGGATGTTGCATGTTGTCATTGTTGCAACGGCAGCTGCAACAGCACAGCAACAGCAACGGCCATTGTTGGCTCTGCGACTGTGTCTAGTTCTGCTTTTGGGCCTTTACATGTCCGGGCCATAACAAAAAAGGTGTTAAATTCAGCCCATGCTCGTTGGCCACTGCCAGGGAAGCAGCAGCAGGCCAAAAGCCACAGAGCCAAAGAACCAAAGAACCAAAGAGCCATAGAACTAAAAAGGAGTCAACGAACGGCAAGGAATTCGCTGTGCTCGGCAGAAGGACATTTCCAGCAGCTCCAAACTGGGAGGCTGAAGCACCTCAAGTGCTGCCACCGTCAACTTGGATGAAAACATTAAAATGAAGTCAGCGGCAGCGAAATGATGAGACAACTCTCGACCGCAAAAAACCAAAAAACAATAACATTTATTACACGGAAAAATAAGTAGAGCAAGTTTCAATTCAATTTGCATTACAGAGGGATTTAAAGGTATATTTCATTATTATTTTATCTTGGTATAAAATACCCTTTCAGGGTATTATTACTTAAGTCGGAAGCTTATAACTCATGAAGGAGTCATTTTCGACCCTAAAAATCATATATATTCTTGATCAGCATTAACAGACGAATCTTTTTATGCATTAAAAAGGTACATCAATTTTTAAACAATTTTTCAACATTTTTTAAGTTGTTATTATTGCCAGAAAAAAATGAAAAAAAAATGATTTTTTTACATTTTATTTTGAGTATGCAGATTTATTACCCTAATAAAAACTAACATAGGACTGCTTTCCGAATTAAAATTAATTAATTTTTGGCTTAGCTATGAGATTTTAAAGCATTGATGTATAACAATAAAATTGTCTTATAAAAATATCGAGTCGAAGAATGCAAAGCGTAGTCATGATCGATTTCTAATGCTATCGTATTATTGCAATTGCATTAAGGGTAAACATTTTTCGCATTCCTGTATTTAGCTTCCTTTCTTGTTTTTATATTAATTTAATACCTCTTAAGATGATCTCAATAATTTTTTCTTCCCGTGCCTTTTCAACTGTAAACATCTGTGAACTATTATGGCAATTAATTAACTGGCCACACAATTTGTTGGCTTTGCACATTTCGGCCCAAAGTCGGGGCTGTCAAGTGGAAAAATGCCGCTTAATTCGCCACAAATTGTGCATTGTTTTCGGTTTTAATTAAAATTGTCTTTTGTTCATCTTCCAGTTCCATCTTTTGCTGCTATTATTTCTGTATGTTTTTTCTTAAACAGAACGGAAGCTGACGACAATTGACCATTAAAAAAGGCAGCAAAAAAGTAGCTAATGCAAAAGGGGAAAACTTTCACTTAGTCGACGAAATGTTTTAATTAAAATTGGCAAAAAAGAAAATAAATAAATAACAAAACAAGGCAGAGTCAGAGTCAGAAATGAAATTAATTTAAACTAGATATTGTGTTTGTGTAACCGGTCTTGGGGGATGTGGGATTTGCAGTAGGAAAAGTGAAATTTCTCAGCCGCGTTTTGTATGTTTCGAGAACCCAAACATTTTCGCCAGTTAGCAGTTCATTAGCAGGCCAAGTTAGCCACCAAAAATATGCATAAAATTAATCAGATATTACCAAAAACAGGCCACAAAGGCGGAAAGTGAAAGACGAGAAAGACACACGTGAGCTGCGATTAATATAAGCAGAAATTTCCAAAACATAAACAAGACAAAATGGTATTTATGGTAATAAATCTAAGATTAGAAAAATACCATCAGAAATTTAATAACATTTGTCATATTTATTAAGTGGAATACTTCAATTTTTTGGGTATTAATTAATGGAGGAAATTAAAGTAAGTTCTTTATTTCACACGCCCAACAATTCCCTTTTGGGAAATATTAATTGAGTTAAATGTTTCTTGGCTTTTGTGACACAGCCAAGATAAGAATCTGGAAATTAGTTAGATAAAGCTCTGAGGAAAATAAGAAACTCTACGAGCCTCATTAAAAGTGAGTTACATGTATTTATTCTTTTGATCTTCCACCGACAGCGGTGACCACACAAAGACTGCGAAGAACCTTTTTAAATATATTTTCTCAGGTGGTTTCTCTCCATCTCTACCTTGTCTTTGGCCGGTATCATGAATAATGAAAGAACGTGATATACCAAAGAATATATACTATATACACTATATATATCAAGCTAGGGATACTTGCTGAGCAGAAAAAAATAATATATACCGAACAAAGAATCGAATCGAAGGCAGATATTCAAATTTATTATATCGAGAACTATGTGAAACTTTAAATAAAAAAATAATTTAAATAACAAATCTATATAATATCCAGAACTTTTGAAAATCGGATCCTAATACGTTGTGCAGAAATGGAAAAGTCAGTTTAAATCATATTTATATTGGAAACAAGTTAACCTTTTAAAAATAGTATCTTATCTTTGTGCTGGAATGGAAAATGCAGTTTAAATATTATTTATATTTGAAGGAACTTATTTTGAAATATCGACCATAATATATATCGGTTTCCCGTGCCATCCCTAAGCTCCACAATATATGCCAAATTGTTTTTTATTCTTTTTCTTACCGAATATATGTCAATTACAGCACGATCTTTTGGCAAATTCACCGTCGCCTGACACATTTCCAGCTGTTGGCCAGAAGTCAGACTCAGAAGTCTGGAGATACCGATATTTATGTCACCGGTGACAATAAATTTGTCAGCTTTTTGTTAACCGTTAAGTAAACGCAGTGCATGATTTGTGTTTTGTAATGAGGGCGAGTGAGTGAGCGAGATCGAGATGGTGAGCGAAGAGGACAGACAGTCGAAACGAGTTTGAGTTCAGTTCATAAGATATTCATGATATGCCAAATGTTTTGTTTTTATTTATTTTGTTGCCTTTTGTATTGTTTTGCAATCTTTTTTTACTCGGCATTTTTTGGCAAATCAAATTGCTGAAGATTGAGTCATGGAATTTTTTCCTTTATTTGCATTTATGGTGGCGACATCAATATTCAAAAGGTAGAGAATAATTTTGTTATGATAAAAGAGTGATATTTTGGGAAGAAGCTAGGAAGACATGTCTTTAAATCATTTTTAAAAATATTTCAAAAATGTAAAACGACTAATTTCTGTATTAAGATGACCAATAGGAGTGTTATAGTGTTAACTAGTAAGGCCTCATTGTGCCTCGCTTTCATTTATTGATGAAAACAAACAAATTAAAGTGTAAACCTGAGAGGCGACATTGACCACTCGAGTGGCTAAAAATTCGATGGCACTCGACACATTGTTTCGATTGCTTTTCGAGGGGGCCACAAGCGTGTTGCAGCGGCAAAAACCAGCAATAATCACAACAATGGGAGCAACGGCAACACCAATTTCGTGACCTTCACTGGGCCACTTGAGGCACAGCTTCTGCATCAACAATTCCGGCGATTCGAACACGAAGTTCGTTGGCTGTCAGCCATTTGAGTGACTGACATGCAACACCAGAAACACCAGCAACAGCAGCAGCAGCAACAATGCGGCAGCAGCAGCAACAATAGCGTGCTGCCATAGCCGAAAAAAAAGAAAAACACCAATTGGTGTCAAAGCAACAAAATGCTACCGAATTGCAACTGCCACTGCCAAAGAGCCAAGGGAATTCCCCGCCGCTGACTGCCGAAATTAGCAACAAATCAAAGATTGCAGTTCTGGATTGAAGCCTCGGATTAATTTCACTAAAGAGAAGCATGCTTCACACTAACAGAAACCGAAATCAGGGGTTCCTAAAATTATAATACAAATAAATATAATTTCTCGACTTGAATCCGTTACAAAACTAACCAAAAGTCTTTGCAAATTGCAAGATATTAAGCTGATATGGCCTCCCATATTTCTTAAAGTGGAATAGAGCACTTTGCAACCGTTTTGGGCTGCCGAAAAGCACTTGGAGACTTGGAACTTGGAGTTCGGAGCTCGGAGCTCGGAGCTCGGAGCTCGGAGCTCGGTGGAAGCTGCCCACGCCTTGACATGGCCACTTGAGAGACCAAAGAGCAAGAACGGCAACAGCAGCCCGCCCGTCACATAAATAAGTCACCATCAGAGTCAGATTCAGATTTAGATTGAGAATGAGCGACACAGACGCCGCCGAGTGCACACACTTGGCCATAAATCTTGGCCAAAAGCGTGGGCAGGTCCCCAAGTAACTGCTCCTCTCTCCCCTCTCTCCCTGTCAGCGCCAAAATGGGGCCACGCCCCGCTAAGCATTTTTATATATATTTCCATTTTTTTGTTCAGGGAGCTCTTCAAGTGCGTCTTAAACACTCTGTCAGAGCAATAATCAAGCTAATGCCATCTTATGACTCAACCCGAAAGCATCTTCTTCTCGGCAGGCATAAGGCAAAAAGAAAAGTGACTCTATTGGCTGATAATCTGTTTATGGTCAACAGAACTAGGCCTCATTACCATATGCGAGACATAAATGTGCCAGAAAGTTGCCGTTAAGCCAACGCACTTAGCACGTTTATAGAGATACTACCAATAAATACCAGCAGAAGTGTGAAAAAAGAGAAAAGTCTTCTCCTTCTCCTTCTCAAATGACACATTTGGCACAGAGTGGTATTACTCGACTTCTGGCTTTTGATTTGCATTTATTTTTAATAAATCGCTGTGAAAATGCTCTCGAACTAGTGCCAAAACAAAATAATGGGAAATGGGACCAAATATTTGTGCATTTTAAGCATGAAACTATTTTATTTTAATAGCTTAAAAACCAAATTAAATTATTCTCAACTTACTAATCTTCAACTTACCCAAACAATCACGTTGAGTTCTCTGTCGCAAAGTCCAGTAGCGTTTTCTGAAATGAGCAAACAAAATAAAACATACATTAAATCCAAATTCTAAATTACACTTCAACATTAGATGGGGGCATAAATAATTTCCTATAGGTAGAAACATACATAAATTGATTTTGCACTCCAAAGTCACGTCCCCAGATTTGACTTAAATTATCACTTGAATCTGATGTACGAGTTGTTGTTTGGACAATTTCCATGACAAATTCGAGCCACAGAACGTGTGTATAACTTGGCAACAAAAGCGCACTTCGTAGTATAGTACGTACTACTAGTATACTCCGACTGGGTTTGTTAACTCATCCAAAAAGTAAACCACATTCTTGAGAGCATTAGAAAAAAGCCAACGATGTTGTAGGAAAACCAACAACAACAACAGAAAAATAAAGATATAGCCATGAATAGTTGGAGCACAAAAAACATGTTCAGCGCGTGTTTGCAGCAAGCAACAGCAGCAGTAACAGCAACATCAACTTAAATAGGAACAACAGAGAAACAACTAAACTAATAAATTTAAATAAAATTTAAATTTAAAAAATAAGTGTATCCATAGATAAAAAACACTAAGATCTAATCAGAGACTAGTAACAAAACTCCTTTTCAAAGGCAATTTTATACCAATCTGTCTGCTTTTAAGTATGAATATTTATACTTATTTTAAAATTTAACTACAATAATATTATTTTTCTCATTTGCTTTAAGATTCTCCTGCACCTATTAACTTAACCCCAACTGTCTTTGCTCAGTAGCTTGCCTTAGACGGAGGGGGCGTTTTGGGTGGTGGGCGTGGCGGAGCGAGTGCAAAATGCAAAACAACATTGAAGACGAGAAAATCTGGCTACTGTAATTTGTCTGCCCACCAAAGACACCGAGGCCTCCAGTGCTCGCACTCGTACTCGTGCTAGCCCCTAAACTTGGCTGCAATATGTCCGTTGTTGATCGCGTTTGGCCAGTTGCTTGTTGCTGTTGTTGCCTCGACTTGGGCCAGTTTGCAATTGCTGCTCCACTTTTGAGTGTGTTTTCCGAGAGCACCCATACGCCCTGGCCATTCCCCCCTCTTGTCGCACTTCAGAGTGGTATTTGCTTCCTAAAGTTTGCCGACGTCGTCGTTGGCCGCCTTTTGTCGCTGAGGTCAATTTTTATGTTGCAGCCATTTTTCAAACAGAGAGAGAGAGAGGGAGAGGGAGAGGGAGAGAGAGAGAGGGAGAGAGAGAGGGAGAGAGAGAGAGGGAGAGAGAGAGAGGGAGAGAGAGAGAGGGAGAGAGAGAGGGAGTTAGAGAGGGAGACAGAGGCCACAACATAGAAAAATTTGGTTTTGGGACACTCAAAGAAATGGGGAATAATTAACATAATGTAAAGAAGAACTCAGACTGCAATAATATGGTGTACGGTTAGGTTGAACTTTTGAGACTATATATAGCTAAATTTTAAATTACTTAATTTCAGAATTCCATAAACATATCTATAATATCTGTTAATTTCTATTAATGATCTAGTAATTTTATGGTCAGAATTATTAAAAATGTAACCACTTTTCAATTTATTTTCCAGAGCTACTCAACATTTGCGTTCACAAACATCGAGTGCTAAAATCAATCATTAGAGGCCCTATGATGTAAGCTTTATAATCTATAATGTATTAGAGATAATATAAAAATTTTTACATGATTTCAGGATGATATTCTTGTGGAAAAGCCGTGACCAACTTACAAGGATCTTGCCTTTTTCACCGGGGAATTAAAGCATATCTATAGCATTTGGCATCCCAAGACCACTGTTAATGTTTATGGGACGTTGTCCATGCATTAGAGTAATTATATTGATTTGTATTTTGAAAATACAAATTGACAACATAATTAAAATACTATATAACTTAACATCGTAAGTTGTTATTTGATGTAAAAGCCAAATAAAGTATAAATCAATATTTTAAGTATGTAAAATTTGTGAAATAAATTGGTATTCTATGTAAACAATATTTACGGATTAAAGAACAATTAAATTTAATAAAATTAACGATAATTTCGTTATTTTATTGTTAAATGCGATATTTCTTATTCCCTGCAGGGGATCTTATTTCCAGTCAGAACCATGGAATCTAGTGAAGAACTTATTTCCGACCCTATAAATATATATATTCTTGATCAGCACCAACAGGCGAATCTTTCTAGGCATGAAGGGAAGATAATAAAATTATTGCCAATTTTTTCAAAATTGTATAACAGTTGCTAACCCTTTCTCCTTTATGGCACACACTGCGTATACGTAATTTAATGGTTTCACATTAAGTATACGCCATGTATGCCAGCAGGCTGATCGGCTGAATGGAAGAATAGCCTAACAAGGTTGATTCAACTGATTTAAATATGAAACTTAAAAGAATGAATACTCTGTCAGAGGAATGAATCCTTTCAATCTTTTCAACAATTTTCATACCTTTGCAGGGTATTATAATTTCAGTAAGAAGCTAATAACGCAGTGAAGGAGTCGTTTCCGACCCTATAAACTATATATATTCTTGATCAGCATCAACAGGCGAATCTTTCTAGGCATTAAAAAAAGTACATAAATTTTTGAAAATTGTTTCAACATTTTTTAAGGTTTTTATTGCCAGAAAAAAATGAAAATAAATAAATTTTTTTACAATTTATTTTGAGTATGCAGATTTATTACCCTAATAAAAACTAGCATAGGAGTGCTTTCCGAATTAAAATTAATTAATTTTTGGCTTAGTTATGACTTTTTTAAACTTTGATTTGATGAACAAATTGTCTTAAAAAATAGATCTATTTCAATTTAAAGATTAAAATTTTTATTTTAGTCAGAAGCTTAAAAAACATTGAAGGGATCATTTTCGACATTATAAAGCATATATATTCTTGATCAACATAAAAAACTGAATCAACCTAGCCATGTTTGGGTAAAAACAAATTTTTTTCGCAAATTTTTAAATTTTTTTACATTGTTAAAATTGTAAAATTTTGACCAAAATTTAATTTATTTCGATTTTGAATATCGTAACCTAATAAAAACATGCATGGGACAGCTTTCTAAATTAAAATTAGTGCATTTTTATGTTGTTATATAGTTGTTATTTTTAAAAAACCTTGATTTACCAAAAAAAATTGGCATATTAAAATATTTATTTAATATAAATAGAATACACACATTTTTAGGTTTTCTGGGAAGTAAACGAAGGCCTTCGATATTTGTTCGCCTTTTTCCTATTTCTTTCCTTAAGTTTAAATTTTTCTTTGTTTACATTCTTTAACTCATATTTTCTCAGTGCGCATTCTTCTTGTCTTGTGTATATATAAATTTTTAATATCTTATGGACTTTTTATACCTCTTTTTACGCCCTTTTGCGGAATCCGTATTTGCTCTATAGTTTATGAGTTGTTTTTTCATGTGACCTATATTTTTATGAGGCTGAAGCTACAAGCAGCTGGATTTTATTTATAACTTTCAGAGCTAGTAAAAGAGTTTTCCCACTCCTGCAAGTAATATTCACAGGGTATGTACTTCGTCCAGTCAATTGAAGTAGCCTCCTCTGGTTACTCCCATTTCTTCGAGTGCTGTAAATTTTTCATGTTGTCTGCTGCACTTAAAGTTACGTATGAGTGTGTTCTAGGTCTACGTTGGCTATTTCACGTTTTGTATTTATTTTCCTGCCGCTGCCGACTAACTTTTTCCACTTGACACTTGAACTAGGAGATGGAGAGAGGGGGAACTCCAGCCTGACACTTTCAGTTGGTAATTAGTTTTGCGGCCATGCATGTTAAATGCCATTTCGGACCGAGAAGCCTTAATTTGATTGTTTCGCTTGTAAATCGGAGTATCAGAAAACTTTTAATGATCGAAGGGCCTTTGTTTACTGGCAACCTTGAACTGCTGCCACCGATGATTGGCACAGACTTTCGAGTGTCTGTCAATCAGGTTGAATCAGAATTAAATCATTGACAAATAACAATAACCAGTAACAAGGCTGTGTTGCATGTTGGCATGCAATGGAAAGTGAAAATTCTTGGGGGAAATGGTGAAAAGTTTTCTGCCAAACAAATACGAAGGGCCAGGCCAGAGCCCTTTCTCTCCTTTTGTTGATGGCAAACTGTGCCGTCGTCGTGTGCCACATTTGCACATTTTCAGCTGCACTTGCAGCTTGCAACCAGGAAAGTAAAATAAACCCAGAAAATATGTTACTAAAGCCTCGACAGCGCTGCCAGTGAACTGAAACTGAAACTGAAACTGAAGCAGCGACTGAGCATGCAGCATAAATATGTGAATAATGCATAAACAACTAGAACACACCACCGTGTTGCATGTTCGCAAAACAACTGAAAACCTCGCAGTAATTCTGCGAAATTTGGAACAAAAATAAATATGTATATGAGGGAGAGAGGGAAAAGTTTATTCACAGGTAATTAGACTCAGTTGCCGCTGCATTTTCCTCTTATTTTTACTCCTCTCCCCGAAAATAAACAGAAAGCAGAAGCGTCCAGAGTTTCGTTACTTCTTTAATTAAATTCCTTTACATACAATCAAGAGGAGTTTCTTTTTTGGGCGGCAAACAATTTTCAAATGCTCTTTGTGCGCAAGTTTCAATTCAAAAAGCAAAGTTGGGGGAAACTTCCTCAAAGAAAATCCAGGGAATCAAAGGAAGGGTCATATACGCTTGGAATTGAAGGGAAATTTAAGAATAATGAGCAACTAAAAAGATTTTCAGTCATAAATTGAGATATTCTTAAACGCTCCTATCCTTATCATATGTTCATAAATTATTTTTTTAATCTCTAACCCATATACCTTAATACTCTGGAAGTATCTCTTGGGTTACAGGGATAAGCATAAAGGAAAGACCCGGAAGAAAACGGGGGAAAATATTGGCAAATAGAAAAAAAGAGTGGCATTTTCACAGTTGCCACAAAGTTCATCAAAAACAGCAAAACGGCAGTTGCAGTTTGCAGTTTGCAGCTGCAGCTTGTGGAGACCAAGGACCAGCGAC